TTTCCTGAGAAACCTATATGTGGGACAGGAAGCAACAGTTAGAACTGGATATGGAACAAGTGATTGGTTCAAAATTGGGAAAGGAGTACGACAAGGCTGTATATTGTCCCCCAGCTTATTTAACTTATATGCAGAATACATCATAAGAAAGAAAGGACTGGAAGAATCCCAAACCAGAATTAAGATTGCCAGAAGAAATATCAACAACCTTAGATATACAGATGATACCACTATGATGGCAGAAAGTAAGGAGGAATTAAAGAACCTCTTAATGGGGATGAAAGAGGAGAGGGCAAAAAATGGTCTGAAACTCAACATCCCAAAAAGTAAGATCACGGCCACTGGTTCCATCACCTCCTGGCAAATAGAAGGGGAAAATATGGAGGCAGTTTACCTTCTTGGGCTCCATGATCACTGCAGATGGGGACAGCCGCCATGAAATTAAAAGACGCCTGCTTCTTGGGAGGAAAGCAATGGCAAACCTAGACAGCATCTTAAAAAGCACAGACATCACCTTGCTGACAAAGGTCCACATAGTCAAAGCTATGGTTTTTCCAGTAGCGATGTATGGAAGTGAGAGCTGGATCATAAAGAAGGCTCATGAGAAGAGAAGACTCCCTGGAAAAGACTATCATGTTGGGAAAGTGGGAAGGCAAGAGAAGCAGGGGATGACAGAGGATGAAATGGCTGGACAGTGTCATTGAAGCTACCAACACGACTTTGTCCAAGCTCCGGGAGGCAGTGAAAAACAGGAGGGTCTGGCGGGCTCTGGTCCATGGGGTCACGAAGAGTCAGACACAACTTAACGACTGAACAACAACTACTAAGTATTCAGGGAAATGCTGTTTCCTTCTCTTCATACCAGATTTATAACGTATTCTAAATTCTCCAAGCGCATTTTTGTCACATTTAGTTTCTTCAGCAACTAAATAAAACTACTTTTTAGAAGTTCACTCAATAGCTAGAGAACACAAGCAGCAGAACTGCAGATTATAACTACAAGGTTAGTAGTAATGAGAGAGTACAACCAATTGAAGAATTTGAGGTATGTATGCAAAGAGTCATTGCCAATTCTGAATACTTTTAACTGCCAAGGAGGCAAAAGAAAAATGGGTATCTGCTCTACAACTCCCACAGGAGCGCTGTGCAAGGTCTCACATCAATCAATGGCCTGATTTTTTGTAGAAAGATGGTCAGAAAGAATAGTCTATTATGCTCGTAGTCAATTTCCTAATACCAACCCCTTTGAGTACTGCTTAATCCCTGACTTGATGTGGACTTGAATGACCATAAGTTCCTACATTCTAGCATTATTGGTAAGCTACCAAGCTACTCTGAATGCATTCAATCCCATTTGATTCTGGAAGTTAAATTGGGTCAGGCCTTGACAGTACTTAGATGGAAGACCACTAGGGAATACCAGGGATCTTCAGTTAAGGGGATCTCTAGGAGAGAATCCACCTTAAATCACAGAGAGCTGTTGTCAGAGTTGACAAAGCTGGGCTAAGTATACAAATAAAACAGCTTCTTGTATAAACAATTTTGCTAGTACTTTTCAAAAGGGACCCTAAGCCAGAATATTCAGATGAAATATATTACATACTATAGGAGAAGGTGCATATGGGATATTTAAACTCTATGATAGTCTTTTTTATCAATATAATAAAATAAACAGATTTAAAAGTAGTAGCATCCACCTTTTATCAAGGGTTGCTGCCTGCTAAAGAAAACATAAGTCAAAGGTTTTAGAAGCTGATCCAAAGCAGCAATGTCAACGTACAGATTTCAACTTGCCCTAAACCAAACCAAAGAGGAAATTATAAGCATACTGTTCTTTGGTAACAATGTGACAAATCATTAAAGTTGTGACTCTTAAAATTCCAATTTTTCCCTCAGTTATTTAATAGTTACAATAAAACAAGTACAGTGGTGCCCTGCATAATGAGGTTAATCCGTTCCGGATTAACCTTCGCTATGGGGAAACATCGCTATACGGATCAAAAAAAACCCATTGGAACTCATTAAACATCGCTTAATGCGTTCCAAATGGGCCCAAAACTCACCGTTCTGCGATGTTCCCCCATGTTCCGGCTGCCATTTTGGGTGTTCCGGCGGCCATTTTGGGTGGTTCCGGTGGCCATTTTGGGTGTTCCGGCGGCCATTTGGGTGTTCCGGCCACCGCCGAACAGCTGTTCCCCCTCACTATGCGAAGAAACATCGGTATGCGATCGCATTAGCGATTGCAAAATCCGCATCGGTATGCGGATTCATCGTTAAACGGTGTGCTCGTTATGCGAGGCACCACTGTATTTAATTTCAGGAAGAAAAAATAACTTTAAATTTTATTGGACTTCTGGGTACTCATTTCAAACAGTCATAAAAGCATAACACTATTTATTCCTTTGGGTCGGATATAGACAGTACAGTTCCAGTCAGCTCTCAGTAGTTCTTATTTTATAAATAAAATTCAAGACAACTAGAAGATTGAAAGGATTAATTTTCAGAATTTTTTTAACTTGTTAGACCTTTAAACCTTGTAAGTGAACAAGAGGACAAAAACTCATGTGAGCCTGTACAAAGTCTTTTCCCATTATAAAACTATCCAGGATTAATATGTAAAAAAATACAAATCAATAATGCAAATAATAACCTGTATTTGCCGATAAGCAGATTCACTGTGTTCTTATAGGCTCAGCATTATAGCTTTTTAAGTCCACAACACAACCTTTCTTTGTGAAAACATTCTCTTCTACAAAAATACTTTAACAGTAACATACCACATATGCAATCACAATTTCAACATATCAGATTTACAAGAATATGAAAAATTGTTTTGGCTACAGAATATATGACTTAATTCCTTCATTCAGAAATGTTTTGATAGTACAGTTGCATATACAGTTCTTTAGTCAGAGGTTACATGGCAGTGAGTTCAGTTGAGCTTATTTCATAATAACTGAGACTATAATTCAATGTTAAATATTTATGTTGCACCCAAAACTTCCAAAATAGGTTATCTTCCAAAATTTCTTGCCCTTTGATTACCTAAGCCTTAAGGCCATAAATATTGCTTGTGTCTTCTAATTTGCAATTATTTCTATCACTTAGATTCTATTAACTGAAGGTTTCAGAAGTCCTTTAGGTTAACTGGTAGTACAGTGGTGCCCCGCATAGCAACGTTAATCCGTTCCAGGAAAAACGTCGCTATCCGGAAACATCGCTATGTGGGGGGGAACCCCATAGGAACATATTAAACTCCATTTAATATGTTCCTATGGGGACAAAACTCACCGCTAAGCGGGAATCCTCCATCCAGCCGCCATTTTTGTCACCTCGGTAAGCAAGGAATCAGCGCGAAAATGCTGCGGGTGGCCATTTTCTTCTTCCGGTGGCCATTTTGGAACCGCCGATCAGCTGTTCCAAAATATAGCAATGCGAAGATTGGTAAGTGAAACGCTTACCAATCATCGCAATGTGATGTTTACCCTATTCAGAACATCGCAATGTGATCGGTTTTTCAATCGCAAAAAACGTGTCGCTATGCGGATTCGTCTTTAAATGGTGCGCTCGTTAAGCGAGGCACCACTGTATATGACAATGAGAAGATCCAGTTAGACTTGAAAAGGACAATATCTTTGTAGTCTACCAAACTTTTGATATGATGCAAAAAAAAAAAAAAAAAAAAAAACCTTCAGGCTCTCCCTCCTGACCTGATCTCTCAAAGCAGCTTGATGAGAAAATTATCTAGTATCTCAGCTGATAGCAATCTTTTCATTTTCAATTATCTTAATTTACAACCAGACATGGTATTTTATTTCTATCTTAAATTCTCCACTAACTGTTACCTCTCCTCAGTTCAGAGTAGATATTTCCATAATAGAAGCCTGATGAAAGATGAAAGGGCTTATTATTCACACGCTTATCACCTCCTCTTCTTCCATTAGTTCTTGCTATGCATTAGTGTATTTATATAGCCTCTGAATAATATCAATTCTTTGGGCAGCTTACAAACAAAAGCACTACAAATATACTACAGATCAATAAATTCTATAAAATTAAAAACACAGAATTAACAACATACACTTTACACCCCTAGCTGCAAGGTATAAAATCATAGAAAATGTTTGGGTAACTCAAATTATCTCAATATATTATAAAGAGAAAGCCAGCACAAGCTGTTCCTAACAGAGTGGGGGTGGGACGTATGAAAATGCCCTCTCTTTGTCATCACACACTTCTTGTTTTAATGGGAGTTAGAACAAGGTACCTATAGATCACATAGCCATTTACACAGGAGAAGAATGTGATTTTGTTCCTTCATGTAAAGCTCTATTCTTCCTTCAGGTCTGCAAAGCTGCCAAAGAGGGATTTCACAGTTATACATTTTTTTTCTGATGTATACATTGAAATAGGAACCAGATACAATTTCCTTGACTCCAATTCTCTACCTTTAGTAACTATGGGGAAGTTCTTGTGTGCACGTCCTCCTCACAGTTGTCTGGAAGACTATGCAACTAAATTTTAAAGGCTCAACAAGATTTTTCTCATTTGAAGTCTATTTGGCTATTAAATGTTGTACCAAAACCTGTTCATAAATTTGGAAAGATTCTGTACTTGTGCTAATTTCATTTTTTAAATGAGAAGAGGTGCCAAAAGGGAGAGTACAGACAGTGTAATAATGCAGAGCTGACTGTAGAAGGAAACATTAAAGTGCAGCTGATTGATGATCACTAAACATGTTAAAACCCTAGTCAAATTATCAGTGTGGGTTGAATTCAAAGTTACTGTTGTAGCAATTTCTCCACAAACATCTCAAGTTATTTCTAAACACTCTACCATTTCTAAGACTTTAAGGTGCACAAAAAAACCTGCTGGCTTTCTTAGGGAGTTTTCTATGTTTTTCTCCCCAAGAAATTAGGAAGCATTTGAATGTCAAATATCTCATCAATTCAGATTCCTCCACACAGCAACTCAGCTATTATTATGGTAGTTTATTTTACCTTGAGAAGGTAAGCCGGGATGTTGCTGAAGTCCACTGGCAATTTGAGAAGGAAGCGAGCTGAGAATTCACCAGTCTGTCAATAAACGTAACTGTATTAAGTGACATAACTGTATTAAGTACATGAAGCAGAAGCAGCAATGAGGATATTAAAATTTCTTGGAAGTTCACTGTTTAATAAAGCAATGCTTCTCAACAATTTACAAAGATTGATCCAATAATGTCTTAACATTGTTCACATTTTACTGAGCATTAAAAGAACCACATACTTAAAAAGTCTACTAAAATTGCATGACAGAAATCTTTTCAAAAAAGCTATCCAATCTTTTTTCACGTTAGATTGCTCTCTGTTTCCACTGCCTCCCTTTCCAAGCACTATTGTCTTTGTTGCTGTGGGCTTTTCAGGCTCTTTGGCTGTGTTCTGAAGGTTGTTCTTCCTGCCGTTTCACCAGTCTCTGTGGCCGGCATCTTCAGAGGACAGGAGTCAGAACGCTGTCTGTGCTCTGTTGCAATTTGTTGGATAGTTGAATATTTACAGCTGTGGGAACAGCTTTTGTCCTGTTCAAGAAATTGGGTGATTATGGTGATCAGTCATTTTTTTTTAATCAATGTACTGTTGTGATAAGGGGGAGAGATGATCTGTCACTGTGATTGATGGGTGTCGTTAGCTGGTCTTTTGTGTGCAATAATCACTGGTCCTTGTGGCTGGGTAGAGTTTGTTAACCTTTTGCAGGCTGTATTTTTCAGTGCTAGGAGCCAGGCCTTGTTGAGTTTTAAACTTTCTTCTTTTTTGGTGAAGCTCTGCTTGTGTTTGTGGATTTCAAAGGCTTCCCTGTGCAGTCTAACATGCAGATTGCTGGTGTTGTTCAGTACTTCAGTATTTTGAAACAGAATTTCACATCCAGGTTGTTTTCTGGCATGTTCAGCTACTGCCGATTTTTCCTGTTCTTTTAGTCTGCAGTGTCTCTCATGTTCTTTGATTCTGGTGTGAATGCTGCATTTTGTGGTTTCAATATATACCTGTCCACAACTGCAGTGGTGAGGGGGTCCTGTTTGTCCTTTGCTGACCGTAACATTTGTTGTATTTTTGTAGTGGGTCTGACTACTCTTTGTAGGTTGTGTTTTTTCAAAAGTTTCCCCATGTGGTCCGTGACACCTTTGATGTATGACAAAAATACTTTATTTGTAGATGGCTGTGTTTCCTCTTCAGTTTGGTGTTGTTTTCTTGTTTTGATGGCTCTTTTGATTTCATTCTTGGAATAGCCATTTGCCTGTAGGGCCCAATTCAGATGGTTGAGTTCGGCACTGAGAAATTGAGCTTAACAGTTCCGATCTGCATGGTCTACTAGTGTTTTGATTATGCCTCTTTTTTGTTGTGGTTGGAGTTTTTGTGTAGGTACACCTGTGTGGGTGGGTTTTCTGTAGACTTTGTGTCCCAATAGGAGTCAGTTTTGCGTATGACCATGAGATATGACTGGCAAACAGACTTTGTGTCCCAATAGGAGTCAGTTTTTGTTATGACCATGACATATGACTGGCAAAACGTTAGGAAGAACAATCTTCAGAACAAAGCCAAAGACCCCGAAAAACCCACAACAACCATTAGATCCCAGCCGTGAAAGCCTTCGCGAATTCATCTCCTTTTCTTACTTTCCCCCCATACCACTTTTCCCAGAAATATTGTCTTTTCTGATCAGTTCTGTATTCTCATTATAACCGCAAGTGTATGAACTTGATCTTGGTTTCCAGTGACAATCTTTGCTAATTCTCAGCTCTCCCTTTTTTAAAATTTCAAAAGGCGAGGGGACATCAATTGGAAAATATGCTTGGAACGTGTTTGTAGAACATTTGGTCTGATGTAGCTTTTCTTCCTCGGGCTGCTTATGCAAAGGAAAGGGTTTAGAAATTGAAACATAGCTTTCTAGTCACTATTCACCAGAGTGGGCATGGCAAAATTTGTTTACAGGAGAGATAAAAGGGCGTGTATGTTTCTCCATTATATGTGTTGCACTTACTTACATCTTCACTTCATTATCTGTCGCCAAATTGTCTTCATAACATTATGCCAGTGTATTAAATACTGGAGGAAGTACTGTGAGGCAAAAGTACACAAAAACACTTGTACATCAGTTTCTGATGTCACTACAGTACCGGATGTTGCTGATCAAAATGTTGTGAATAGGGATGGGATTTTGTGTAAGGATTTCCAGTCCAGGAAGTCATCTATATCCCAAGCAGACTTCTGTGACTTACAGAGGAGAAACCAGATGGTAAAGGAAATGTTTATCTCTATATTGTGCTTCTCTCCATTCACATCTGCTGGGAAGAAGGGAATGTCCTCTCATTTGCACTGCTTGTCAGGAATTGCCCAGTGGTCTATGATTGTCTTGCTACCTATTAGAAATTATAGGGGTACCTTCTCACTGAACTACCCTCCCATACAATGGTGAGGCAATTTCCAGAAACCAGCATGATAGAGGCGGCATTCCCTTTTTCTAGCTGAAACACATGGAGTGAAGCAAACAGTGGTGACAGAAAGACATCTCTTTTGCCTTCTGGTTTCCTCTTCCCATTCCCAAAAGTCTGTCTGGGGATTCTAAATTACTTCTGGGACCAGAAGTTCTCAAATTACAAAATCTCATCTGAACTGATTGCTGTTTGGTTGTTCTGGGTTTTTCGGGCTCTTTGGCCATGTTCTGAAGGTTGTTCTTCCTGACGTTTCGCCAGTCTCTGTGGCCAGCATCTTCAGAGGACAGCAACCTGTACTCTGGTGATTGCTGTTTCACATAACCATGGGTACATGCACACCAGAATGCAACCAAATTTTCTTTATGCAGCAGTGAAAATATCTGTTAGAACTGGCTCTTGATGAATACAAATCTGAGTTATAATATAGTATGTGTGGGAGAAACTAGGTAAGTTGCTGTATTACTCAGCAACAATGTCTGTGACATCACTGATGAGTAGGACATTTACAAAATGCAAATGCACCACCAGCTACAAACAAGAATCCACTTCCTTAGGAGCCATAAATTTAATGCTTTCTGACGTTCTGATAACATGGGGAAGTAGAACTTGAAGGAGTGGCTCAATAAATCAAAGATCTTAGGTTTGTGGTTTATTCACTGGGCCATCTGTACCTACTAATAGTTGACACTCTGTATTGTACCTCTTCCAACAAGCAAAAGGAAGAGAACAGTGGGTGGTTACCCCTTTCATATTCTAAGTATGAACTTTCCAAAAGAGTACAGTGGTGCCTCGCAAGACGAACACCTCACCGGACGAAAAACCCACAAGACGAATGGTTTTTGCAATCGTGTTGGTGACTTGCAAGACGGCTTCTTCTATGGCCGTACTTTGCAAGATGATTTTTTCCCTGCACGACCAATGCCTCGCAAGACGAAAATAATTCATTTGTCTTGTGAGGTTTCCCAAAGGAATGCATTGTAATGCATTCCTAAGGGAAACCGCCTTTCGTAAGACAAAAATTTCGCAAGATGGCAAAATGAATTACTTTTGTCTTGCAAGGCAACACTGTATTTCAGAGCACTGTTCTGATGTAGTGAAAATGTTTTTAGGATGTGTTCCTTCCTTCAGAAATGCCTCAGAAGATTCTAGCCCAACCTTCCTCAATTTGGATTACCCTGGATGTTTTGGACAATTTTCACCACTACAAATATATTTCAACAGCTAGGGCTAATGGAAATTGAAGTACAAGAAATGTTTGGACACAAAAATTATTAAATACAATTTTGGTGGCTCTAAATGGTAATATACAATATTTTTCCGTGTATAAGACGACCCCCACTTTTCAAACCCCAAATAAGAAAATTTGATAACTGCTTTCCCCCTCCACTTCCTAAGCCCCGTGAAAGCAGGATCAAAGGGGTGCGGAAGTGGAGGAGGAAAGCAGCAATGAAAGGTGAAGCCTTTGATCGTGAAGCCCTTTCATGGCTGCTTTACCCACTTCCTAAGCCCCGCGGAACTTAGGAAATGGGTAAAGCAGTCATGAAAGGGCTGCATGATTAAAGGGCTGCGATCTGCAGCGCTTCCCACTTCCTAAGCCCCGTGAAAGCAGGATCAAAGGGGTGCGGAAGTGGAGGAGGAAAGCAGCAATGAAAGGTGAAGCCTTTGATCGTGAAGCCCTTTCATGGCTGCTTTACCCACTTCCTAAGCCCCGCGGAACTTAGGAAATGGGTAAAGCAGTCATGAAAGGGCTGCATGATTAAAGGGCTGCGATCTGCAGCACTTTGATCCCTTCCTCCCTTTCTTCCATGTATAAGACCACCCTCAACTTTTACTCTGTTTTAGCAAAAAGTAATGTCTTATATACAGAAAAATATGGTAAGGGCTACCTGTAGTCCTTTATGCAATTTCCTGGCTTTCCTGAAATAGCACTTAGAAGTGGGCATCACCTGAAGTGGTTTGCCAAGAAGTTCTGTTACCCTTTCCCCTACTTTTCCTCTACAATTGGCAACAGAAGAAAACTAAAGGAGGAATAAACCTATTTTGAGGCTGATTTTGGCCCTGGCATCTCCAGATGCTGACTCCTAAACTAGTCAAATACTAGCAATGTTGAGGTTAGCTGAGAAACTTGTGTTTATATCCCATAGCAGCAAAATCTGTTTTCTTCTTTCTGTCTTTGGTACATGGTACATACCATGATTCTTCACGCCATACAATAGTTCCAGATATAGTTGTTTATTTAGAAATTAGATTCAAATAAGTTACTATAACATAGTGACAACCCAAAGATGGCATGGAGAGCAAGGAAGCTAAATTGAGGGAATCTCATTTATTTTAAGAGCCACATAACACCCCAAACCAGTGGCTGTTGTTACTGTGCGGCAGAAATTTATATTGTTTTGCTAGTATGCTTACCCAGTTGTTCTTTTTACCAGCATAAATTTCCATGTTCTCTCCATATTGAGGTTCTTCAAGTAATGTTTGATACTCAAACATGAGGCGAGAACTCTCACGTAGTCGGCTACACTGGAACTGGTGATACTGTTGCACAAGTTCTTTTACAACAAGCAAGAGGCATTCAGGGTTTGAAGGGTTCCAGGAGGCCAGGTTCTGGGCAAAAAAGAGATAAGAACTAAGTAGTATACTTCCTTTTTCTGTGCAAATTGAGGCCTTCTACTAGACCAACCAGTATGGCACTATAATTGCTTCCAGTGGAAATTCCATTGGAATACCTCCAATCAGAACTTTGGCAACTTCACCTTCCTCAGGTGATGTCTTAGTGTTTCGCAGCAGCAGTCTCCATTTCCCCTTACACTGATTGTGGCAGATGGAAGTAGTAGTAGTAGCAGCAGCAGCAACAACAACAAGAACCAATCTAGTCAACATGTCCTGCTAACATCCATCATTTTTTACTTCCTTACCATAGGGAGCCATAACGTAGTCACACTCTGGATGATACAATAATAAAAAAACTGTGGGGCAATTAAAATAAAAAATGTCAACTGTGAAACCTCTAAGCCTCCATCAGTTGAGGAACAAACAGGGATTACAGATTTGCCATTGCTACAACACAGCTAGTCATCTGTCTTGTTCTACTTGTCTAAATAAGTAGAAGTCCTGTACTTTTCTTCAGCCTTTTCTTAAAATTCTAAACCTTGGAAAGTGTGGCAGCCAATGGTTCCCAAACTGGAAACCTTTTAAAAGTTGTACTTTTTCTCCCCACACTTTGCTGAGCTACAGTCAAGCAATCAGGATCGATATTTATTACAGTGGAACCTCTACTTACGAACTTAATCCATCCCAGAAAATGTTCATTAGTTGAAACGTTCGTAAGTAGAAGCAAAATTTCCCATAGGAATGCACTGAAAACCATTTAATCCGTTCTGGCTGTTTTTCATTCTTATCTAGAGGCGCCGTTCGCAAGTAGAAGCATTAGTTTCCACAGGACCTAAATACAAAGCCGGTTAATCCGTCCTCTACCACTAGGGGGAGAATTTTTCTCCTTTTGACCTAAGATTAACTTAGGTCAAAAAAGGGGCAGGAAAGAACACCTTCTAAACAGAACACCTTTAAAAACAAGCAGCTTTTAAACAAAACCAAGTCAAGCCAAGCACCTTTTAGGTTTAAAAAAGAGCAGGAAAGGAGGGAGGGGGTAGGTAACCCCTTCTAAATAGCCCACCTTTAAAAAACATACAGCTTTTAAAGAAAACCAAGCACCTTTTAGGTTAAAAAAAGGCAGGAGAACACCTTTTAAACAGAACACCTTTTAAAAAGCCATAGAATCCAGCAAGCATTATTCCAACACATAAAATAAATAAATAAAATAAAAATAAACTCCTCATCACAAAAAGAGAGTCTAAACTGCATTTTACAGTCTGCCTGCATCAACACCCAGCACAGCCCTTCACAGAATACTTTTTGATTTTAAGAAAAAAGACTGTGGAGACTAAACAAGATGGGGGGGTAGGGACTTGAGTGTAAACTCCATTTTAAAGCCTGCTTGCACCAACAATAAGCAATCATTATTCCAGCACAGAATTCCTCATCACAAAAAGAGAGCATAGGGGGAGGGAGAGATAAGACAATGGGTGGTGGTGGGGAGGGCCTTGAGTCTACAGTAGACTCCATTTTAAAACCCAATTTTAAATTCAATTTTAAAGTCTGCCTGCCTGCATCAACAACCATCAACCATTATTACAGCAAACAGATCCCCAAAGAAAAAAAAGACTTTCGAGTCATATTTTAAACCCACATATTTTAAAACAACAGAGAGGTCACAGTATACAAACCCTAGAAGCCACAGAATACAAAAATAAATAAATAAATTTTACATTTTAAAATTACAGTATAATTTTCACATTTAATTTAATTTAACATTACAGTCTACTTTTCACATTTTAAATCCACACTGCAAGAACCATTAGGGCACAGAAACATAACTCCCCACCAAGCCCTACCCCCACACCAAGCTGAAAAAAAAACTCAACTCTGTACAGTACAGTAAATACAATGTATTCACCCAGAACAGGCAGTCTCTCTGTTTAAAAAAAGAAAGTAAAACATCCAAAAATCCAAAATTAAAAAAAAGCCAAAAAAATACAGTCCGTACAGTACAGTACCAGGCAGTACCAGGCAATACTGTACCAGGAAGTCTGAAGACTCTCTCCCTATCTACTCTCTGACCGCTTGGACAAGCGATGTTGCAGACAAATAGCTTCTTCGCTGGCCAACGATTAACAGAAAATTTCGCGCTTTTCCCGCCTCCCCTGCATTTTTTGTTCGTATCTCGAAGCTCCGTTCACAAGTAGAAGCAACATTTGCGAACGGAGCTGTTCGTAAGTTGGATCGTTCGTACGTAGGGACATTCGTAAGTAGAGGTTTCATTGTATTTTGATAACTGCCACTAGAAAATAGATGCTTTATGTACAAGAGAATTGTTATAAGATTAGACAATAAAAACTGACTAATAACACAAATAGAATATATTTCTTGCAGTCTTTCCATACATCTTAGTTAAAGTCTGTAATTTCACAAATATAATACATTCCACTTCCATCTATCTCTTTATTCATCTCACTTAGTCACATATCTAGTCCTAATACAACCTTTATCCCAACAAATTTCAAAATCCTATCTTTCTCGTAAATTCACAATACTAACTGATAACAACAAACCTACCCATCTGACATCCTAAACACTATTATATACTCTCTCCCCATCTCTCATTTGGATTGGGGAAAGCAGTCAATTAAAGCAAAGTTATATGAAGACATACTCTCACCCTAATCCCAATGGTCATACATATCACTCACCAAACGCTCACTTGTCAATCAACCAGTTCATTCTATCATGCAGCCAGGTAACCAACCTACACAATAGGTATCCACAAACAAAATCAAGCAGGAGTGGACTAAAATGGTCACACCAACCATAGCCACCCAAGGTTATAGTGTCAAGGGGGTTGCTTTCATTGCCAGACTAATGCTAGGTCTAATGAGTGCAATCAAGCAACCTCTCGATCTTGTAAGTGATTTTTTAAGTGAATGGAAAATAGATTCTAATGCAACATCTGAAATGATATTTGTTTCCTATCTCATATCGGTATGGCTATTACAGATGTGAGTTTTCAGATCTCCCGGACTACAAATCCCACAATTCCCCATTCTAAGAGTTCTATATGAGTTATACACACATTATAGACACTTAAATGTAGCTCACATGGAGAAAAGACCTAAACCAGAAAGCTTTGGGACTTAGATAAGCCTAGCTCCACTCATGCTTCCTGCTCAGAAAGAAAGCTCTGAACGAACACAATGGCAAGAACAGGAAACTTGGGTGAAACTAGGCCTAGCTAAGCCTCAAAGCTTTTCAGTTTAGGTCTTTTTTCCCCAGGTGAGCCACATTTAAGTGTCTGTAAGTCAGACAGAGCTCCTAGAATGGGTAATTATGGGATGTATAATACAAGAATTTTTTTTAAAAAAACCTACCCCTAATGGCATCAATCTGTTCATTACAATAACAATTTGTTTTGTGACCAAGTGTCCAGAACATGTTAGCTCTAACTTCAGTTTATTCCGTTGTCTAAAGCAGTGGTTCCCAACCTTGGGCCTCCAGATGTTCTTGGACTTCAACTCACAGAAATCCTGGCCAGCAGAGGTGGTAGTACAGGCTTTTGGGAGTTGTAGTCCAAGAACATCTGGAGGCCCAAGGTTGAAGACCACTGGTCTAAAGCACACTGTGTATTCTACAGGGAATCCCAACTCTTGCATCACAAAGTCAGAAGTAACCAAACAAGCAAGTACATTCTGCACAGCTCCTACTTCCTATTCACACGGTTTTAGACAAACACTCTTCCCAGAAAACTGAAGGATGCAATGTGCTAGTATGGCTGTGATCATCACATCAAGGAATAGGAATATACTCCCTCCACATTTTTCTGCTGCCTTACCTCACTGATACTGTTTTAACGGAAATGAGCAACTTCTTCATCAATGATTTGCACTGGGAAGAAATAATATCTCCCACCCCAACACTAGCAGAACACTGCCTACCCACACACTCCTTTACAGACAAAAAGAAAGGAGAAAAAGAGGAAGCTATCATTTGTTTTATTCATATGGCAAGGCTGTTCTTGTCAGCAAGTGGAACAATATTGCATCAGAACAGTTTTTGATTTCCCCATCCTCATACATCAACTTCAGAAATAAAAATCATTTCTTCCAATAGCTATTTCATTCCAAAGCCAACTAGATACAGTATTTTAAAAGTGCAAGCCTGTAAAAGAAGAACTGTTTGGAAGACAAATTAAGTTATTACAACTACCTTTAAAAAAACCTATTTAAACTGATGTCTAAATTTAACACTAACTTGTTTGTTTGAGCAGTTAGTTCCGAAATATATTATCTCCTGCCTTCCTGATTCCTTTGATGGGCTTCAGTTTGCTTATAAAGAAAATAGATCAACTGAGGATGCGATTAATACAGTGCTTTATATGGTTTTATCCCACTTGGAATCACAAGGGAATTATGTAAGAATGCTGTTTGCGGACTTTAGCCCTGCTTTTAATACCATTATACCCCACAGATTAATAGTCAAACTTAAAGATCTAGATTTTCCAGATTCTATCTGTCTGTGGATTTTGGATTTTTTAACAAATCGTCCACAAAGGGTTAAACTGAATGACTACATCTCTACTGACAAGATACTCAGCACTGGCACTCCACAAGGCTGTGTCCTTAGTCCACTACTGTTCTCCATTTATTCATCGGATTGCACCAATAACCATCCCAGTAATAGGATTATCAAATTTGCAGACGATAGTACACTAGTAGGACTTATCTCTGGGGATGATGAGTCTGCGTATCGGGACGAGGTATTACAGCTATCCCGCTGGTGCAAAAAAAACAATCTTTTATTTAACATCCAAAAAACCAAGGAATTCATAGTGGACTATAGGAAAAAAAGAGCAGACATTCAGCCACTGTATATAGATGGAGTTTGTGTGGAACAGGTGGTTGAATGTAAGTTTCTTGGGACTATCATAACAAATGACCTGACTTGGAGTGCAAACACCGCTGCGTTAATCAGGAAGGCACAACAACGGTTGTATT